TTACAATGGGGCTTGGATGTTTTAATACCGCACCTGGAGCGGATGTTTGGGCTGTGCTTTGCACACCTTTACATTCCAAAGATCTTGAGGGAAGTAAGGGTTGTATTCATTCCCAAAGCAGGGAGGCTGGATTATACCTCCCCAAAGGCGTATCGACCCATCAGCCTGACCTCGTCTCTGTTGAAAACGATGGAAAAGCTGTGTGAACGATACATAAGGGATAGTGTGCTTATGGACAGACAGCCACACCCTAATCAACATGCATACACTCCAACAATTAGCTGTCACTTCGCTAAGGAGCTCTTAGTGTATCATTAGCAAAGATACAGCCAAAAAATACCTGGCCATGTCAAGGTCAAATCTTCGCTTGGTGACAGGTATTCAAACTGGACACTGTTGGCTAAGCAAACACCTTTACAATATGGGGAAGTGTGAAACACCTCTTTGTAGGGGCTGCGAACAGGAAGACGAGACGGTATTGCATGTACTATGTGAATGCACTGCCGTCTCGTCAACAAGAGAGTCCATGTTGGGAGAATGCTGGCCTTCAATGGCCTATATTAGAGAGATCCCCCTGAGCAACATACCACCCGGTATATGCTCCGAGAATGTGTTATAGGATAAAGTGTGAACCTGGCCAAATACATCTAAATGTTAGGCCATCAATTGAGAAGAAGAAGAAAGCCCAGTGCTTGTTACAATGAATGTGTATACAATTTTTGCGAAATCACAAAAATAGGGTCCATCTAAAATGTTGCTGTTCATATAAGAACAAAGTATTGCAAAAAAATTCTAGGAAATTTTGCCAATTTCTAACATAAGATTAGTAAAATCTCCAACTCAAAATATTTTTCAAATATAAGTTCAATTTTTACACTTCGTTTTAATTTTATTTATTGTTAACTGCAGCATGCAATATAATCCCACCAATTATGTCAGTTCTGAATTTTAATACAAATCAACGAAAGTGAAAAATTTGAAATTTCATTTTAATATGAACCAGTCTTAACTCACATCAGAGTTTAAAATCCTTAAAAAATTTTAACATTAGAAGAAACACTTTCTACCATCATCATTTATACAGGGTTCTTCACGGTAAGTGGCCTATTAGACGTTTCAGAGGAACCAGACAATATGACTGAAATTTTATTTACGGGGGTTATCAGATATGTTCACTTCAATGAAAATAAAGCCATCAATGTAGCACTTCCGGTTATACCGGAAGTAGCTATCAACTTCGTTATTTTAAAAGGAACACCACATATATTATTGCATTATCGACAAGATAAATTAAAAATAAGTCAAAAATGTTAAAGCTAATCGTCATTTTGCAAAAATTTTGACAGATGCAAGCGTTTCGAAAATTCCTTATATCTTTCTTCGTTCTGGGAGCTTTCACTTGGTTTTTGGAATACACAAAGAATATAACATGCACTACCTTCGTCTATCAAAAATTACCTGAAGAAAATTATACTAAGTGTCCTATTTTTCACGTTACATTTCGAAAACTTAAAACTGGCAAAACTTTTTAAATTCAAATGGAACATCCTATATCTTTCTACATCATATTATAGAAAATCAAATTCTCTTTTCATCGATATAGGCATTGTAGGAGTTACAGTTTCAATTTTCTCAGATATTTGTAGTTTACTTACATTCTTAATTACGTTAAAAATATCTCTTACTTGAAAGGCAAATATTGGTACTGTCATTCGGTATCAAGTATTTGCTCGACAAAAAAATGCAAAATAATTATTCTAATGAAGATATTTTGAATTTTTTCTATATCCATGGAACATTTATCGTGAATCAAAATTATTAGCTGTATTTCTCTGATTTGGTATTTTGCAACTGAAACAGAATAATTCATGAAATGATTTCGGTTGGTTTTCTTAGAATTTTTTTATAATTTTTAATGTTGTAAATGTTTTTAAAGAATAGCAAAGACAATAAATAGATAATTTCAAATAACTAGGTAATAATGCATTATTATAATTTTATGATATTTGGAATGAAGTTGAGAGGATACTATAACTTAACATTTTGGTTAATTTACATTTCATTGTCTTCTTAATGAAATGATGCTTATTTGCTCTTTATTGCACTTGCAGTTGCTAATAATAGTATCCCAATGGATGAAAATCTTAGGTATTATTTTTGTGTAAATATACCCCCTTTGTTTAAAAGATGCAACAAACGTGAAACAACGCACTTTATTAATGTAATTATGAAAAAAAATCAATGTTCTACAAAGAACGCTATTGTATGTAGGTGGCCGAGTTTCATTCGCGTCCAATTCTTCAAATTTTGCAAAATACCAAATCATAGAAATGCAGCTAATACTGATTCATGGTGAATGTCCGTCCCATGGATATAAAATAACTTCAAAATATCTTCTTTAAAATAATTATTCTGCATTTTTGCATTTTGTCGAGGAAGTTCTTGATACTCTTGTAGAATACTGAATGACAATACTAATATTTGCCTTTCAAGGCACATTTGATGATATTTTAACGTAATATTCTCGAAAATGTAAGTAACCCGCAAATATCTGAGAAAATTGAAGCTGTAACCCCTACAATGCCTATATCGGTGAAAAATGAATTTTATTTTTTATAATATGATGCAGAAAAATACAGGGTGTTCAATTTGAATTTAAAAAGTTATGTCGGTTTTAAGTTTTGAAAATGTAACGTGAAAAATGAGTCACTTAGTATACAGGGCTGGAAAATCCACATGGTCCATCTTCCTTTACAAGAGAGCGACAAGTAAAGTAAAGAAATCCCTGCGATAGACAAGGATGGCTATAGTGAAGACATTTCATAATCTGAATAGTCACCGCCCGTTTCGGGTTAGAAGTGGGACTGACTATTCAGATTATGAAACGTCTTCAATGTAACCATCTTTGTCTATCGCACGGATTTCTATGACTTACTTTATAGCTCTCACGTAACGGCTGATGTACCATGGGGACTTTCCGAACCTGTAATTTTCTTTAGGTAATTTTGATAACGGAAGCTAGTGCACCTTAAGTTCTTTGCGTATTCTGAAAAGCAAGTGAAAGCTCCCAGAACGAAGAGAGATATAAAGAATTTTCAAAACGTTTACATCTGTCAAAATTTTTATAAAATGTCGATTATCTCGAAAACGGTTAGATTTAGGTACAGGCAAGCTTTAACATTTTTGATTTATTTTTAATTTATCTTGTCGATAATGCAATAATATATAGGATGATCCATTTAAAATAACAAGGTTGACAGCTACTTCCGGTATAACCGGAAGTACTACATTGATGGCATTATTTTCATTGAAGTGAACATATCTGATAACCCCCGTAAATAAAATTTCAGCTTCGTATTGTCTTTGGTTCACCTGAAACGTCTAATAGGCCACTTACCGTGAAGAACCTTGTATAAATCGTAGGATTTGAATTGTGCACCATTTTCATTCTGAAGAGTTGGCAGTACTGTGCAGGGTCACACGCTATAGTAAGCACATTGCGGTTAGAGAAAATGGAGCACTATACGAAGTATGCGCAAGTGAAGACTCTGGAAATTCATTACATGTATGGAGAGTGTGTAGCTGAGACTGTGCGTAAACTATGTGGAATTTTCCATAGAAGGAACTCCGATGAAACAACTGTGAAAAGATTAGTTGCCAAATTTGAAAAAACAAGTTCGGTTGCATACATACAAATATTGCTACAGTGAGTGATAGTGTGGCGAAATTCTTGTAACCCCAGTGCGCCGTCGGTCACTGCAACTAAACATTTTAAAAAACACAGTGCAGCGGATTTTAACAAAAGATCTGCATCTGCATCTATTCAAGATTCAGCTAACACAGAAATTGAAAGCAGATGACCATTTAATGCGCCAGACATTGTTGGAGAATCAACAAGTGGACAGTCATTTTGCTAAAAAAATCATTTTTGATGACGAGGCGCATTTGCATCTTCCGGATACTTGACCAAGAAAAACTGTCGAATTTATGGCATAGACAATCCTCGGGTCATTCAAGAACGACCAATGTATGTACAATGACAGTACGGAGTGGATTTTGCGCTGATGGGGTGATTGGTCCATTCTTTTTTGAAAATAAGGCTTGAAACGCAGCGACTGTCAATGGAGAACAATATCAAAGAAGCTATTAAACTTTTTGTGGCTTCATTTGGATGGCATGGATTTGGATGACATTGGATTCCAGTATGATGGTGCCACCTGCCATACAGCACATGAAACTATCCACTTGTTACGGCAGAAATTTAATGGACGACTCAGCTCAGGTAACAGTGAAACTTGTGGAGATTTGTAAAGTCCAAAGTTTATTCTGCTCAAATAAATACCTTTTAATTTGATTCATAAAAAAATTTGTACATTTTAATCATCGTTTTAAATCTCAATATTAATACCACATCAAGTTCATGAAGAGTTTGCTTTTTAGGCTTAGGTATAAAATACAGAGTATGTTACGTCTCAAGTGGTTACTGCTATGCAGTCTAAGCCAAAATGGCAGAGAGCAACCTGGTATCAAAATATTTAGATCATTCATCAGTCACGTCACCTATAACATACTGATTAGAACTAGTAAGTTCGAAACTGGTATATGTCCGATGGTTCTGCTGACGAATGATGTTAGATTTATGAGTGTAACTCAGTGCTGAACAAGTCTTTAACCCGCAAAGTTGTCGTTTCCCACAATATTGTTAAGAAAAAATCTGCCTTTCACAACGGGAAACAATTCCAAACCAAATTATTTTTAGTCAAATTAATTTATAGACTTAAAAATGTGTCATGTGTGAATAATTTTCAAAACAGTGCAACACAGCAGAATAAAAATAGCACGTTATTCTGATAATCTGCCACAAACTGACGATCTTGCGACAATTTAAAACTAGCAGTTATCAATATTGTTTTCCGATAATATATGTACCTACAATATTTCTAACTCTATAAAAACAATTAATTTTTTGTCTAGCAGGACACATTGTATATGAAACTCACCACTATCAACCGCTACACTCTTTGGTGGAGGCACTGGGGCAAGGACTATTGGGAATATGCAGTCAAATATCTGGTTGTCGATCTGCAACCTGTTGATCTTCGCATGAATGTGCATTTGGTTGGGACTGCTCTTCATCTGCAGCCACAGGCCCGTTTCAAATGTCCTCCTCATCTTCTTCTTGCTAGGCTTCAGCATAAGATTGGATTTGAAGTCAACTACAATCTTTCCATCGAGAGTCACTATATTGTTATCTTCGTCGGGTTCGGCAATTTGTTTAAGCAGGTATTGCTGGTAGGCATTTTCCAAGAGCATGGATAACTTTTGATTGAGGCTTTTATATCTCCTACCATTCATTTTACATGACTCCCAGATAATACCTTCAAAATTAATTGATATTAACACTGTAATTTTTTAACAAATTAAATTGGAAACAGTTTTGTAGAAAGGGTAATCGTGATTTTTACCAGAAATACTGTTTTTAAATAATGGTAAGTACATGTTTACGAAATAAACTTGCAGACACACTTTTAATTTATGAGGAATGCTGACAAAGTGCAAGCGCAGCATCTCATTCATATGCAGAAGGAATCACTGGGCACAGCACAGAGTTGACTTGATAAAGGTTGTTTAAACGAGCAAAGAGGATATGTATGAAGGCTTGTACCATTTGAAATAACTGAAATTGAGAAAGAAATTCTAGAAAAAGTGGAAAAACACCTAATGACTAGAGTCTAGTCAAGACAAGAATCGCCTAGTCACTAGACGATTCTTGTCTTCTTTCTTTTAGGCATTTAAAAGATTTTGTTTATTGCAGTGAAGATGTGAATAACAGGGAAGAATTTAGTGAGTGAATAGAAAAAAAAATATATATATTGTGCATGCAATAAAAAATGCTTCCACTTTGAGAACGGATATCATTAAATTTCATTTTAAAATTAAAGAAATTATAAATAATTAATTAAACCAAAAATGCAACTAGATTATCTAAAATGTTTGTGTTTTTTATTAGATTATTTTCTTTAATACGCTTTACCTAGAATTGAAAAAATTTTTTGGGAACCTTATACAAATCTCAGCAGAGTGTCCAGTGACAGTCAGATTTTAAATTAAAAACATGCTTTGTCCAAATTTGACAATGAAAAAAAAAATCATAAGTAGTCTTTACTGATTAAATATTAAATGAGACTTTGTATATTTTTTAATGAATTTTTTAATGTTTTAAAGTATGAGATAGTCCAATCAATCTGTCACGGCCTAATGTTAAATTTACAAAAAATACCACCCGGAAATAAAAAATATCGTGATATAGGAAAATAGATCTAAAAGAGATAAGTCCATTTTTCTTGAGGCGCATAAATAGCGAAGTTAACTTAAAAAATTCATAAAAGTAAAAAAAACGGTTTTTCACTAATAAATAAAAATTGAACTACAATCGAAAAAAGGTAAATGAGTAAGTTGTAGCTATTAAAAAAACCTATCGATTGGTATTTTTAAATATATCGAATGTTATATTACTTTTCGAGATATATAAAAAAAAACATCAAAAATCGAATTTTTTTGTTTTTGCTGTATCTCTTGCAAATTAAGGTTTTGAAACTTGTTATTTGCTGTAAAATCTTTGCTGCATCAAGCAAAATTAAAAAATAATAAAAATTTTTCGAGTTATATCGATTTTTCAAAAAAAAAGGTGATCTCAAAAATCGGCTCTTGCTCGACGAATAGTCGTAGAGAAACGAATCGAGACTCATTTTTTTCGTTAAGAGTTGTTCTTTCATGGTAAAAAAGAGTGATAAAGATTTTATTCATTTCAAGTGTCCAAAAATAACTGAAAAAAGTAAAATTTTTTCGATAGGGACCAAACGGCAAATGTTACAGAAACCTGTTAAGGTGGGTATGTGTAGGTTGATTACGGCTACATTTTAAAAATATTTTGAAATATACAGGGTGTCCAGGAAAAGCATACCATATCAAAGTTATGTATTTTTAAATGGAACACCCTGTATTTTACTGCATTTTTGAAGGCACCTTAAAAAAAATAGGTGAACTTTATCGAAGGTTCTGCATACCTAGGACTTATAGTTTGTGAGATATTTCAATTTTAGTGAAAATGTAGGCATAGCGTAGAAATTTTATATTAGCAACAAAAAAATAATTTTAAGGAAGCAGCTTTGGAGGGTCTATTTTAGATCCTTGAAGTTATAAATTGTTATATTTGTCGTCACTTAGTATTATACAGGTTGTTCAAAAAACTGCTGAAAACTTGTCTAAACTTTAAACAGCAATAACTTGGTTATTTTAAATGGAACACCCAGTATATTTTTACTTTGGGAGTTAGGAAATTTAAAACTCTATCAAACTGTGTATAGGTTCTCTATACCTATCTCTAACAGTATTGGAGATATTTGTACCGTTTCGTTTTTTATCGATTTTTTGTAAGATGTATCTACATATCTTTATCGAGGTCTTTATTGAATTGGTTTGGATCTCTTTAAATATATTGAGAAAAATGAGGATGCAATTAGATGGCGCACCTGCAAATTTTTCATATTCAGTGAGAAATTATTTAAATCGAAAATTTTGTATTAAATGGATATGTAGGAATGGTGCATGTCAGTGGCCAAGTAGGTGTCCAGCCCTCACCGTAATGGACTTCATTGTTGTGAGCTATATAAAAAATCTTGTACACAATGTTCTACCTACTACTTGCGATAATATTGAAGGGAAGGATTAGAGATGCATTTGCGTGAGAATATCATTTGAAGATAGAATAAGATGCTGTATTCAAGAGAATGGTTATCAATTCGAATATCAATTAAAATTTTTTTTTGTTTCTTCTAAAAGTAAAATCTCCCTTTATCATTATCATGACAATATTCAAAAAAGTTTTCTAATAAAAAATATTATTTTATAAGCAGAATAATTATAAAAAGTTATTAATTTTGTATAAATATGATATTTATGAACATGAAAAATATTTAATAAAGAACGTTTTACTTTTAGAAGAAACAAAGAAAAATTTAAAAATAACTATTCTGTTGAATACAGCATCTTATTCTATCTTCAAATGATATTCTCACATTCCTTAGAATATTTGGGGTGATTATGGCAAATGCATCTCTAATCCTTCCCTTCATATCATCGCAAGTAGTACAAGATTTTTTATATAGTCCGAAACAAAGAAGTCCATTACGGGAGGTTTGGACACTTAAGTAGCCACTGACATGGACCATTCTACCTATTCATTTATTACTAAATTTTCGATTTATATAATTTCTCACTGAATATGAAAAATGTGCAGGTGCGTCATCTAATTGCATTCACATTTTTCTCAATATATTTAAAGAAACATCATCAAGAAGAATCCAAACCAATTCAATAAAGACCTCGATAAAAACACGTGGATACAACTTACAAAAAAATTTTATAAAACGAAACGACACGAATATCTCCAATAGCGTTAGAGATAGGTATAGGGAACCTATACACAGTTTCAAAGAGTTTTAAATTTCCTAACTCCCAGAGTCAAAATATACTGGGTGTCCCATTTAAAATAACCAAGTTATTGCTGTTTAAAGTTGAGAGAACTATTCAGCAGTTTTTTTAACACCCTGTATAATGCTAAGTGACGACAAATATAATAATTTATAACTTCAAGGCTCTAAAATACACCCTCCAAAGCTGCTTCCATAAAATTATTTTTTTATTGCAAATATTAAATTTCTACGCTAAGCCTGCATTTTCACTAAAATTGAAATATCTCAAACTTACGACCTACAAACTGTAAGTCGTAGGTATGCAGATCCTTTTATAAAGTTCACCAATTTTTTTACGGTGCTTTCAAAAATGTAGTAAAATACAGGGTGTTCCATTTAAAAATACTTAACTTTGATATGGTACGCTTTTCCTGGACACCGTGTACATTTCAAAATATTTTTAAAATGTAGTAATCAACCTACACATACCCATCTAAACAGGTTTCTGTCACATTTGCCGTTTGGTCCCTAGCGATCGAGGCGTTACTGGTGGCCCACCCTGTATAGCAATGGATATATTTAAAAGTACGAATCGATAGGTTCTTTTAATAGCTACAACTTTCTCATTTAACTTTTTTCGATTGGAGTTCAAGTTTTATTTTCATTAGCGAAAAACCGTTGTTTTGACTTATGAATTTTTTAGGTTAAACTTGCCATTTATGTGCTACAGGACGGGGACCGTCTAGCCGGGTGTCTTGGCTGGCGGATTTCGATCTGCCGAGTCAAGCATCACGGACGTGGGCTGGAATTTGGATGGATGACTTAAGGCAGGCTCGGGAACGTGGCTGTGGCAGCCTACCAGAGACCTTGGTCACCCAACATTTGCCGCTCGCGTGTGGTCCCCGATAAATGGTATTAAGAACAGAGCAAAGAAAATCTCTGTAACTCAAGACCATGCTATCATACATAAACTGTACGAGACTTTGTCACCAAGCCACCGGCGTAGTAAATAGGATGGTTTGAAGAAATGTACTCGAGTAATGAAGGAGAGTGTACAAGGGGCCTAATAAGGCCTAAGTGTCGTGGTGGAAAAACAATTCCACCACCCTCCGACATACATACATACATGTGCTACAGGAAAAATACTCTTAGAATTATTTTTCCTATATCACCATATTTTTTGTTTCCAGGTGGAATTTTTTGTAAGCTCTTCTACCTATTACTAAGAATACATATTTATACTCTCACAATTCGGAGATACTCAAATTTTTAATCAAAATTCCACAAGCAAATCGAAAAAAAATCCAAATACCTAATGAGAAACTAAAAAAAAACATAAAAATAAAATAAACAACACATTTTTTCCTATATCTTTTGATTTTTCTGTGGTTACCTCTCAACCTTTCTGGATAGAAGTGAAATAAAAATAAGTTTCTCGTTTCACAGAGTGAAGCAAGAAGTTGAAATTCGCAAACCCGCAAAATTACCAACGAAACTTTAGGGACGAGAACATTACAATAACCAACAACCTGTACCTGAACTAGCGATTCCAAGATACATGATCTCCTGCCTGGTCAAGTTGTTAATCAGAGACAATCCTATTCCATGTATCGATACATTTATTTCTTGCTGGATGATTTCGAGTAGATTACTGGCCTCGGCGCTTTCAGCGATCATCTTAACCTCAGTAAACAACAAGACCCTCTGCATTCCGTCCAAGAAAGAGGCCCAATATATCTTCTTGTCGCGTGTGGGACTGTATTCGCCACAAGCGTCTTTTCTGAGATCCTCTACTAACTCTTTGTTGTTGCCTTTGTCCCATACTATCAGTCTGGGACCAGATGGGTTTTCCCAGGTATATAGGAGGGAGTGTTTTGAGCCCAAGATTCTAAAAGATAATACAATTTTGATACCGTGGTTTTTCTACAAGAGATTTTTCAGGATTAATTGGTCAAATTTAAAATTTAAATTCAGAGGCTACAGTAAGAAAAGATCTATGGAAATATGTATAGAAATGCTTCACTTTTGAGATACAGTTGCAAATTAAAAAAATGGATAACCATTTAAAAAAATGCACCATTATTTGAGTTATCTTTCTAACTATTACTGTTATTGCTTGAAGTTATTTATTTGTGGCATAGTTTTGTTTTTTTTTTCATTTTTGGGTATTTTGCTACCTGTAAGAAAAAAATTTAAAAACCACTTTGTTACATCTAAATATACTCTAAACGACTACTACTAAAAATTAAAGGAACAAAAATATGTCACAAATTTTTTAATGATTTTTGAAAGGATTATCAGTGGAAAATGGTTGTTAACACGTTGACTGCGGTACATACCTCGAGGGGTATGTACTCATTATAAAAAATATGCGAATCTCAATAATCACATTTTTACTGTATCTTGTGGAAGTTGCAGAATCTGTACTTTTTAGAAATAATGATTTTTTTATTATCTTTTTTTCAAAACTCTTTGCGAATGAAAACGTTAGTATCCTAGGATATATAGTTGCAGATACATGCATGCATTATAGCAATAATTGTGTTATTTTTAATTTTGTAGGGTCAAATGTAAAAAAAATTACATATCCCCAGGGATATGTACCGCACACAGAAGAAGTTTTGTTACATATCCCCGAAGATATGTATCGCAGTCACGGACAAAGTACATTGAGATTATCTCGCAGTCAACTTGTTAATAAACAAAAAAAAAAAAAAACTTTTTGAAGCTCTAAGTCCTAGTTTCAAGATGTTTTAAGAGGAAACATTTTTGAGCTAAGATTCTTGAGAAATGAAAAAAATACCTTGAGAAAAACATTTTATTTTTTTTTTATTTTGGAAATTTTTTCGAACTCAATGAATTACTATTGAATTTATTGAAACAAAATGTTATGTAGTCAAGAAAGATGATTTTAAACTAAACAGAAAAATTTTTATCCTTATTAATTTATTCTGTTTGATCTTAGATTTTTATTTTGGACCATTTGCAGGGGGGCCCCCATCGCCCTCCCTTGGATCCGTGCTTGATAATTGCACAGTAAATCCAAAGGTGGTTTTGCAAACATGAATAAATTCTCTTCAAGGACCTATCATGATTTTTGAAGAAAATTTTTTTTTGCATCCTTGACATTAATTTGAAAAAAATGCGAAAAATTGACTTTTTATGGTTTTTTAGAAAATCTGTCGCTAATTTACAAATATTGATGAAGACTAATGTTGAAAGTAATTTTATAGCTCAAAGTTCCCACAATAACCCTATCCAACTGTTTTTCTGTTCCAAATGATCACAGTTGTGGAAAGAACTAAGGGAACACGTTTATTGCTCTTAAACATACGCTTTCATTATCAAAATGAAAAAGAATTATTCTCGACTCACACAATTTTGAATTAGATATCGTTTCAATTTAAGAAAAAAATAAAAAATTAGTTTTCCAAAAAGTCATTTTTTTTATAATAAATTTGCTGGACATTTGAGAAAACAATATCTTATCGTTCCTGATAAAAAAAATTAATTTTACAAAAACTTTTATTTAATTTTTTTTACCAAGCAGAGTAGTTTAAAAAAACGAAAATCAATCATGAATGTGCGTAAATGGAGGACAAAATTCAACTTGACTTTTCATTTAGTGCAATTAAATAAAGTTTAGTATAATTATGATATGCAAAGCCCGAATCGTATCAGAAACGACTAGACATTGTTTTCTCAAATATCCAGAAACTTTTCCAAAAGAAAAAAAAATTTTTTGAAAAATTTTGATTTTTTTTTAATTTAAACGATATTTAATGTAAAATTGTGGGAAGTCGAGAAAAATTCTTCATTTTCATTTTGATAATGTTTAAGAGCAATAAATGTGTTCCTTTAGTTCTTTCGACAACCTTGATCATTTGAATCAGAAAAACGGTTGAATGAATCAACTTGTCAAATTACTGTGTTATTACTTATTATGGGTACATTAAGCTGCAGAAATTTTTCTCAACGTTAGTATTATCATCAATATTTGTAAATTAAGGGTAGATTTTCTAAAACCGTAAAAAGACATTTTTTTGCACTTTTTTTCAAATTTAATGTCAAGAAAAAAAAAATGTTTCTTCGAAAACCATGACAGGTTCTTGTAGAGAATTTATTCAAGTTTTCAAAACCACCCTTGGATTTACTATGTAATAATTTGTTGCTGAGATATCGATGATTAAAGACAAAAGTGTAATTTTTTATTCAACCATCAATATCTCGGTAACCAACTGACCTTTACATTGATTGAGTTCGAAAATATTGAAAATTTTTTTCCAAGGTATTTCTTTTGATTCCTCCATAATCATAGCTCAAAAAATTTTTTAGTTAAAAGACTTTGAAACAGACGTAGAACTTCTAAACGTTTTTTTTTATACCTCGACATGACCATTTTTCACAGAACTTTTCAAAAATTACTAAAAAATGTATGAAATATTGTTCCTTTAATTTTTTTGCAGTAAGTAATTTGTAGAAAAAAGTTGATAAGAATAATTCCAAAAATCCCAAATGTTCAGAAATAATCCTGAAATCAAATTATTATTCTTTTTTACTTTCTTATTTATTAGTTTTATTACGTCAACTAATTGTTGTTTTCTTTGACAAAGTGTTATTCTTTTTTGCTAATTATCACGATCAGGACCCAATTCTGAAAATTATATACTCCAAGATTATTTTGCTTTGTAAACTGTAAATTTTTCAAATAAAATGAGATATTCTTCTTTAAAGCACTACAAGGAGTTACGGTGATCAAATTGCCAAAATATCAACTAGTGTGGGTGAGACATAACCTACAAAATATGTCGTATCTTAAATATCATTACTACTCAATGCCTAATGGCTAAAGTACTGGTTTGTACTTACTGGCAGAGAGTGACCTACTGATCTGTAGGTATGAAATTTAACACTGGTTGATGTATATTTATATCTAATTTCAGTGGATTTTTACTTTTAATTAGATAAATAATTAGACTATGTTTAATCAATCTATGTCAAACGTTTTCAAAGATATTTTAGAAAACATCTAATTATTTTTTCAAATTTCAACATCAAAAGACGAAACATTTCTAAATGTCCCTTCATAGGAACATTTTTCTTATTCCGACCATCCAAATCCAAATTTTAATTTTGTCCAATTAATTTTAAAATAGTTGTATATTATCAATTGATATAAAGACTTAATGGCAAAATGTATGATTGAAAATTACTAGATAATGCATTACTGTCAAATTAGTAGGATTGACAAAAAAAAAATAAGCATAGTGCAACATCTACATAGTGCTCACATTTGAATACTTGCTTTTCCTTTCCATTTATGTTGACCGGGTGGGGCAGGGGAAGGAGGACTAAGGTTTGGGTCATAGTTGACAAATTTTCTGTCACATAAGAAGTAACGACTAATAAAGTCACTGAAATCTCTCATTTCTTAACATTTCGTAATTACAAAAGATTTTTGTCTGGAAAATGCTGCTTTTTATTATGTAAAAAGGTATATTTGTGCTTTCATCCTAAAATTAGTATGCTTTTTTTCTGGCATTTCACATGGATATCAATAGATGATGCAAAATCGCAGTACAATTTTACATGTTAAATCATTATCACTTAAGTTATCAAAGCCCTACTAGTCTGGGCGAATTAGGTTTTTTTTTCAAAAATCGGGCCCATCTCGAATTTTATGGGCTTAAAATGAAGTAAAAAATACAGAGAATAAAAGCCTAAATTTGTGTATTTGTAGAGATCGAACGTCATATTGTTTATAACAAAAGAAAAAAAAAAATAATTGCTCTTTTTTCAGTTTTTCGCTTATATCTCCGAAAATAAACCTCTAATCGACATGAGGTATACTAATTGATTTTGTTCCTGATGATATTTGCTATAAGGATAGGGTTTTGCGAAAGCTCGCAAATTTTTTTTTACATTGCAAAATTACGGTAAAAAAAAATGTGCAAAATTTACAGCATTAAATAAAAAGAACGAATGTGACTGGGGTGCTCAACAAATACCCGCAATCTGGACCCCCAATTTCAAAATGGCGGCATATTACAAAATTATAAAGTCGAAAACGCGAGAGTGTATATCTTCGGCCCAAGTCAAGGTATCGAAATTTGGTAAAAAAGGATCGAAAGGTAATTACATTATATCACGTCTGTGTAAATTTCAGATTTTTAAGTTGCAAAATAAAAGAAACGGTAACTAGGGTCCTTATCTCGGTGGTTTTTTAACATACAGATTTCAAACCAATTGCATCAAATAGTGCTTAAAAAAAACCTGAACTTAAAAAAAAGCGTCTCGATCCGACCAATAAGAGCCGAGATAATTTTATTTTTTAAACGGTATTTTGGTTGTTCTATTTAGTATTTTGTAATAAACTTGGGCTCGTTGTATAGTAGAAGACTTACTTTATACGCTGAATTTTTTTTTAATCGATTCGATCACGAAATGACCAAATAAACGTTCGTTAAAGACAGTGTGAACCGTGTAGCAGCCCATGCGGCTGCCAGTAGACGTCATAGTACCCATGCTGCGCTCAATTTCTCAAAATTCTTACTTAACAAATGGATTGTGGCACTTAGAGCAGCTACCAGGATGCTTTCTTTGTAAATCGACTTATTTTTTTTTCGCTTTTTCAAACGGTGTAAGCAAAAGCCTGTGAAAGTCATCGCCAAACCTCGAAAAATAAATTTTTATTGTCTTTTCACGTTTTCTTTTGTAATTTCATTATGCTTTCGATATTTTGAAAAGTAAGAAGGTCTTTTTACGTATTTAAAAACAAAAGTCAATTATTTCTTTGAACAAAATGATCAGTATTCTATTTGCTGTGCTCAGAGGGGGTCGACATATAAAATATTGTCTTAAAATTAATTAGTACAGTTATTGCGTAAATTGTGTCTAGATGAATGTTACAATATCGACATTACATTTAAGTACTGCATTTTATAGTATTTAAAAGAACTGTTACATTCTATTCTTTTAGGCCACCATTTTGAAATTAGGAGTCCGGATTGCGGGTATTTGTTGAACATCCCAACAGTTATCTATTCCTGTAGTTTCATCCAATTTCAGTCAAATTCGTTCTTTTCATTTAATGCTGAAAATTTTGCAAAATTTTTTCTTCGCCGCAAATTTTCCAATGTGAAAAAAAATTTGCGAGCTTTCGATAAGTATACCTCATGTCGATTAGAGGTTTATTTTCGGAGATATAAGCAAAAAACTGAAAAAAGAGCAATTATTTTTTTTTCTTTTGTTATAAACAATATGACGCTCGACATCTACAAATACACAAATTTAGGATTTTATTAACATATTTTTACTTAATTTTAAGCCCATAAAATTCGGGGTAGGCCGAAACAGGCATGTGTTTGGTCTAAATGCATGATGTCGCTTGCTCGAGGAATCCGAATTGAACTTTAGATAATCAAATATATGTTTAATACAATCGATTGTACCCGTTTAGTACCTGTTTGTACTACTTTTATTTCCGTTTGTACCTTAAACCCTAGAGGATGTGGGATGAATAAATTTATGCCTGTGTGGTACACTCCCTGCCGGCTTGTAAATAAAAAATTTTTTGAAACACCACGTATCTCAGTTTTTTAAACACCCTCTATGTAAAAGTTTGACAAAAACGTTTTCCAAAAAAAAAAAAGTCGACCTGTATCTGAATTGAATCGCGGCTCTTCGGCTTCGTAGTAGAGAGCTTACAGTGGCCTATCGGTGGGTGGAGCTAATATGAACTATTTGAAAGTTTAGGTCTCTGCAGTAGCTCAGTATATGACGGTTTTTAGGTCCGAATTCTTGACACATGCACCGATTGATGTGAAATTTTAACAGTAAGTAGAAAATTGCACAAGAAACAAAAGTTACATAGTGCCGATGTGTGCTTTCACCCTGGGGATGAATGCCACCCCTTCTCGGGGGTGGCAATGAAATTTTCCGAGTTCTTTGCGATTGAAAATGTTGATTTTTCATCTAAAAAGTGCATGTTTTTGATAAATAACTCGAAAACCTTGTGTTTTATCGAAAAACCCATATATAGCAAAAATAAAGCTTTTGATATAACGAATCGATCCATTTTTTGCTGATTACCGTAGATGTAATAATAACCGAGTCATCACCCTCTAAATGTGATTGTTTATTTTTCGAAAAGTAAAATCAAACCTTTTACTGTAAAATAATGGCAAAAGAACTCATTTTTCGAAGAAAATGAATATAACCTTTTTTAAAGTGCTTGGAAAGACCTTTAAAATGCTTTTTGAAAAAATTTTGTTTATTGTATTGTAGCTCAAAAACTCGCGGAGTTATGATGAAAATAAAATGGTCATCTCATTTTTTCGGAGAAAAAATCAACAATAAAATCTGTGGCTGAACCATAAAAATAGAAACTAAGTGTAATCCATGTACAGGGCCACCTTCTTTGAGCCCCTAAAACTTAAAAATCTTGAAAACGAAGAGTTCAAGACCCTCAACTATAGATGTTGATTTGTAGCTCTTGCAATTCCATGCAAATTGCTTTTTGGAGCGATGAAAACTATTAAATTTAAAAAAATTACCGTGAAAAAACGAATTGTATTATTCAGTGAAAATTGCCGGATCGTGTAAATGGCTTAATTTCCGATAGTTTCCGAGGGGTAATACACGCACAAACACACACATATCCAAACAGAGCAAGTCAACAGTGATGATTATTCTTTAGATGATATGTAAATTTTTGATAATAAAGTATAATTGTATAATACACAAATAATTTTTATTTTCCCTTTCACTAATTACATAATTTAAGTTTCGAGTTTTAAGTAATCTCGTTAAATTTAGTAATGTATCGTTGAGTGTTTTGAAGCAGGTAAAAATTCTTCAATTCCTCATTAAGCGTTGTTTTTAAGGGTTGAAAAGTTGCAATGAATCATCAGTAATGAGTCTTTCATTCGTTATAAATGCTATGAAGATGCAAAAAAAATTTTTTGCTTTATTTTCTGCAATAAGGGTGTTTTGTAAGGGTTGAAACGTTGCAATAAATCATGTATTATCTCATAAACAGTAAAAAATATTAAATTATTGCTCCCTCAAAACATTTCAGAGCCGTGAAAACTTATTTTTGTTTTTTTTCCACATAAAGTGTGGATTTTAAGGATTGAAATGTTGCTACAAATAAAAAATTATTATTCAAAACATAAAAGAATGCTTATTCTATTGACATAACACTTAAATCTATGGTTTTTACTCTTTTTGCAAGAAAGGGTAGTTTTCACCCCCTAAAAACAATAAACACACATTATGGATATGTAACTTTTGTAATGGAGGGTGAAATGAGCTTACTCACCAATTTTCATGAAAATCGGTGCGTGTGTCAAGAATTCAGGGTAATACCCTATTTTTACCGTTGTATACTGGACTACAGATGTAAACGCAAAATTTAAAATGTTCAAATTAAGTTTTATCACTATAATATTACCTTTGAAATAATAGAGTTGGTGCGTAACAGCAAAATAACAACTCATTGTGATCTGAACGACCTGACATTCAGTTAGTTTTTGAATTTTCAACGATGGACGTTCCCGTTAGTTTCCTTTCTCTTCCACAGTAAAAATTTTCCGTTTTTGATGGAGGACCCACAGGTAAATGAAAATGTACCTAAGAAAATGCGGAAAAGCCGCTTTGAAAGTACAAACATCGTAAAGAGGCAACTCATGAAAAAAGCCTTTAATATTCCAAAATGCCTCTTTTTTCGGGTCCAGTGTGGGAGCGAGAGTAACTTGCGACTTTTAATACGGAAGGAACGATGGAGTTAAGGGAATATATTATAAAATTGTAATAAATAAAAACTGGTTCCCAATTTACTAACCTCTTCTGCACCGATTCCTTCTCCCAGAAAGTGATGGGGCTGTCAGTGTGATTGATAAGAAGCGCAGGAGCAGATCCGTGCTCGTACGGCACCAAATTTATGTAGATAGCTCCCTCTGTTATCTGTATATCGACATTTACACCACCGTACTAAGAAAAATAACAAAATTATCAGTAAGAATCAATTAAAAGTTAAAAACGTTCACCTTATTGTTCAACCGTAGCAAAGTGTTGTGGCTTTCGGTGTACAAGAAAGGCGCAGAGTTTTCGGTAGTCCCCTCGACCCGCAGACGCAGTAACTTGTCTTCCATGTCACTTCTAGGCCACAGAGGCGAACAGGATTTCGGCTCGACCGCTAGCCAATGATCCGCCGGCCTGTCGTTTTCTTGACATTCGATGGCATACGGAGCATTATTAATGATAACGTAGTACGGGGTGAATGTTACCTGTTTCGTTAAGTTATTATACGTCAACTGGATGTGCACACCAATCTGAAAGATTGTCAAAAGTTATTTTATCGTAAACAATTTTTCAATTTTTTTTCATATACCTGGTAAAGTCTGTCGTTGGCTTTACAACTTATGACACCCGAGGACCCGGCCACGTCCAGGGAGAACTTGTCGGACCAGTCTCCCAATTCGACACGTATCGTAGCCTTCTTTTTGCCAAAGAAATGTTTCGCATTAAACGAGAAGAGAATAGGCCCCATGAAATGCGGCGGGTGGTGCAAAACATTTAAGTTTTCATCGGAATCCTGATAAAAATAAATTTAACATTACTCTAGGGAGTAATAGTTACCAAAGCGATAAGCCCAATAACAAATTAATGCATGTGAGGAAGCGAGGAAAAGTTTTAAAAAATAATTATTTTTGGAAATATGAAATTGTAGTTTTCCTCACTTTCTCAACTAGTACTCGTAGTGATATTAAATATACATAAACTTACATCATATTCACCTTCTCCACAGCCAATTCGTATTACGTACAAAATTCAATTTTACAGACAATATAAAAAAATTTGAAAAGGTCAGTCACAATTCCCTTATACACGTTTATACATACATTTAAATGAAATTTTTAAGTATAATTTTTAATTTATCAGGGATACTTCGTTCGGTTTGAAACAAATAAAAGGAAAAGAAACGTTTGCGTATATACGAAGATGTAAAATTGCTGCCCATGCAAACATAAAAACAAGCGAAAGAAATAATCATATATGTACAAATTTCTAAGCAACTGCTAGTTTCCAAGGGATCACAGCTAAAACGATTAACAATATGCATTTTACGATACAAGCTCATAAAAAGGAATGTCAGAAGTATCTGTTGCATCTGTAATTTTATCACCAACTGTTACTTCTTGTTGTACGAGGATTGCTTTTTATATTTCGGGAATGGATGATCCTGGTGCTGCCATCTGACAGCCGACGTCCCTATCGTAAAATTTGACTTTTTTTCGGCATAGAACATCGGCTCAGAACATCTTGACATACAGGCGCTATTTGTGTTGTCTAGAAAAATTCATCTCGGCAAAAAAATGGAATTAAGTCATGAATATATTCCATGTGATTATATTTTTACAACTTTCGACGTGGATTATCCCAACAATGGTGCATCGCTGAACTTAATTCGACTTTTGGTGATGAAACATCATCAAAAACGACTGTATATCGGTGGTATATGGAATTCAATCGTGGCCATGGTTTGTTCACTGACGAGTATCATGACGGTCTTCCAAAATCGGTTGTTGTTGCAGAAAACATCGATTTGCGTGTGAACTGATATTGCAAGATCGTCATGTGACCTACTGGATAATAGGACCAACATACATTGAATATTGCATGAATATTTGACCGCCAACCAAATTTGTTTGCGTTGGATCCCACATAATTTGACAAACGTTTAAAACAGTCCCATGGTCGAAAAGAAATGCTCAAGAAATATGATCATGGTGCTTCAAAACACGTCTATGACACTGTTAGGAGGTGACAAATCGTGGATCTATCAAGATGAGCTAAATCCAAGAAAAGTTGTCACGCATGAAGCACTTCTAGGTAAATGGTTGCCTGTTTTTTTGGAAAATCCGAATATGTGATAACTGTCTGTGATTAGTGTAACATTACACGGTCAATTCTGAATGGTGCACAACCATTTGTTTGGTCTTTAGAAAAATAAGGGAAACCACCTCCGAAGACATTCTACACAAAGACAATGCAAACTCTCACACATCGACTCAAACAAGACTTTTTGCAAACTTAAAAAGTTGAATTAATGAGTCATCCATCGTACAGCTCTGATTTGGCACCCAATAACTTTTATTCTCGAACATTAAAAATAAATCGAGGTCAACGTTTTTGGACGCTTGACGAAGAGGTTGATACGTTCAAAATGCATATTTTGGAGGTACCTCAATCGGAATGGAAAAAGTGCTTCAAAAATTGGTTCAAGCGCATGCAAAAGTGTATTGATCTTCATGGAGAATATTTTGAAAAACAATAAAGCCACATACGATGATTCATTTCTTTTTTGTTCTCTATTCCCGAAATATAATAGGCAACCCTCGTATAAATAGCCTATGCGTATGTTTACAAATATACACTTACAGTTGACTGACAATAAACAAAAGCTGGGATATCTTAAAAATGTGATTAAATCAAACAATAATAAATGTATATTTAAGTTGACGCAACTATCGATATGTAATCCTAAGTTTAATGGGAGACTGAAAATTCGAAAGTAATACAGGGTCGGAAAGTCCTCATGGTTCATCGGCCGTTACGTGAGAGCGATAAAGAAAGTCATAGAAATTCGTGCGATAGAGAAAGATGGCTATAATGAAGGCGTCTAATAATCACCGCCCATTTCGCCCTTCCACAAATAATAAGTGGATCTTTCCGACCCTGTATACACTTTTTTTACAATCGATTTTGTTAGTGAAGTTAATTTGTAGAGCTGTCTGATCCCTTAACACAAAAAAAGTTACAAAAAAAAAAACCAAAACCGGCATTACTGATAAATGAGTACCTTTGCGGGACTGCCAACAGCCTCATGTTTCGCAGTCTTTTTAGACTTCTGAAAAGAGAATCAATATGTTCGTTATAACTTTTTTAGAAGTGAATAAAAACAAGTCTTTACCCTGTATCCGATCATAAGACCGGTCTTGTTCAACATCCAGAACGGGCAGTACAGGGACATAATAAATGATCCATTTTTATTCAACGTGTGCATTCCGAGATCTAGAGACATTTTTGTCGGGCTGTCGTAGCTGTCAAATGTCCAAACTGCGAATTCTTCAGGTTCCTCTGAGATTTCATACCGGCAGGACCATTCTTTCTCCAAATATTCAGGAAGCTAAAAATTCATGTCACTAGAGGAATTTCAATTACAGATTAGGAAAAACTTTATAAGCATTATATTTGAATTTTTACATTTTTGAAATCACTGCATTTTTCTGATTACGATGTGTCACTGATACTTGTTCTCGTCGAAATTCCAAGTTTTTCATTTTTATAGAGTCCTATGAAAGCAAAACATTCAACTATTACTGCAAACAAAATGTTGACAGTTCAGTTAACTGTAATGTCGTAAGCTTTGTTCCTTAAGCATTCCAAAAGTTTCCAACAGTCAGACGGATATGCATTTGAATCGAAGCAACAAATTTTAAGCGAGCATATGTCTGATTATTGAAAACTGTTTTAGATTGTTTTATAATCCTTAGTTTTGAGAATAAAAAATGCAAATTGTGAATGAAAGGCGGATATTTTTCAACTTAATTGAGTTATACCCTAATTTGAATTCTCCACAAAAAAGTGTCTGAATAATGTCTGATTAAAAAGTAGCCTCTTCTGGTTTTCGTTTAAAAAAATTATAAACAAAAATAAAAATGTTTAATTATTAAAATCAAACGAAATAGACTGGCCAGATTTATCTAGGTGAAGACTGTCTCAAAAGTAACACAGAATTTAAATTATGAACCATTTTCATTAAGAAGAGTTGGCAGCATTGTGTAGGGTCACATGTTGTAATAAACACGTTGCGGTTAGACAAAATGGATGAGCTTGTGAAGATTGTGATTCATTTCAATTACGGAGAGTGTGTAGCTAAGACTGTGCGCAAATTACATGGAATCATAACTGTAAACAGATTAGTTGCCAAATTTGAACAAACAGGTTCGGCTGCAGACAGTACAAAAATAGACTGGCCTCCCACTAGTCGTTCAGCCGAAAATATTGCTATGGTGAATGATAGTGCGGCGGAAATTCCCGTAACCACAGAGCGCCGTCAGTCAATGCAATTAAACATTTCAAAAAGTAGTACAATGCAGCAGATTTTAATAAAAGGATGAAAATGAAATTGTTTCATTCAGGACGTTCCTTCTACTGAAAATTCCATGTAATTTGCGCACAGTCTCAGCTACACACTCTCCGTAATTGTAATAAATTTTCACAATCTTCACTCTCTCATCTGTCGTATAACGCACCATTTTGTCTAACCGCAATACGTTTATAACAACATATGACCCCGCATAATGTTACCTTCGGAATGAAAATGGCGTACAATTCAAATCTTGCATTACTTTTGGGACACCGTTTATACTTTTTCCTCATCAAATTCCAAAAATAGAAGATTTCAAATAGAAGTTTTACAAAAATTGCAAAAACTGTAATTTAGAGTTAAATTGTAAAGTTGCAGTTATACTACAATAATTGCAAATTGTATAAAATTATATTGAAAAAAAATTAATACACACAATTTTAAAACGACTTACTCTTATAACAAGCACGTTCCTTCCAGGATCGATGTTCGGCAATTGAAGCGTGTCACCTGCTTTAACCTCAAACTCATCCGCTTGCTCATCGACACAACAAACAACGTCAATGGGTAAAAAGTTCTTGAAAATCACCGAAGGTCTCAGATGGATGTTGTAACAAGTACTGGTCATGGTGTGTCGTACGGTGTCCTCGAAATACACCTGCTCCATCTTCCCTATGCATTTAATAATGAAAGGACCCTTTCCTTTATTAAAATCCCTATTAGAGCACTGCAACAGCTTGACAAATGACACACTCGTCTGCAAGTCCTTCCAAATGTAAGGAGTCGATGTTATGGAATGTCCTGATATGGCAAAGAACAGTTCGTTTGTTGGGGTGTAGACGGCTTTCAGAGGTATATTCAGATAACCGCCCGGTTGTGCAGCACCGATGAGCTCTAGCTCGTTACCTTTAGCGGTCATGTAGTACACGTCGATGGGGACACAAAAGTGGTTGTAAACCTTAAAGATGATACAGCTGTAATAGTTTTCGGTTTAATATGTAAATAACGATACTTACTTGTAAAACGCTGCGAAGAGTTACTATGGTGGAACCTTTGTCCACTTTAATATCAGATATTATGCCCCAGTTATCGTGACCGTCTCCGCGGTAGTTTAATGAGAAGAATCTTTTGTCCGCCCTGCCAACTGGTAAGACGAGTACGCAGTTCTTGCTGGGGATCTAAGACCAGAAATAGAAAAAGTTGGATATTGAGTGCAAATAAAGTAATAATTTCATAACAGCAATTGTATCGACTGTTAAAACCACATAAATAACATTGAAATGGGCATGTAGTCTGTTGCAGCTAGTACTTAGAAAGGGTGACCATCCAGGGAAGACTTGCGAGGCTCCTCCACTTTCTAGTGGCCTGTATGTTCAGAAACATTGCATGGGCTCAAATATTATTAGTGATGGTGACAGCAAAACCTTCAAAGGCATAATGGATGGCAATCCGTATGAAAATTTCAAAGTGCAAAAGGAAGAGTGTATTGATCATGTACAAAGCAGAATGGGCACTCGATTGAGAAATCTTTAAAAAAAGGCCTCAGAAGAAAAGGTAAATTAATTGCAAAATTAAATGATAAATTGACGGTTTATTATGGATTGGCAATATGTCGGAATCCAAACTGGCTAGAAAATATCAAAAATGAAATCTGGAGACCTTACTCTATAAACCATCAACTGACGAAATTCCGCAGCATGAGAAGTGCTCAGAGACTTGGTGTGAATGGAAGAAAGCGCAAGCAGCGAACTCCTTGGACACGATCCATCATAAGCTGCCACTTTCAAAGTTGTTGAAGCTATAAAACTGATTTATGAGGAACTGAGCCGAGATGAGCTGCTAAACCGTTGCTTCGTGAGCTACACGCAGAATAGCGAGAAAAGTTTTAATGCCACTGTTTGGAATTTTGCTCCAAAATCTTATTCAAGTGGCAAAAAGGTCTTAGATATCGCGATCAATATTGGTGTATGCAATTTTAATGATGGTCTGACTAATATTCTAAGAATTATGGAGGTGAGATGGATATTGGAGTCCAATCATATAATTTTTGCTTTGAAAGCGATTTTAAATGCATCAAGCAGGCTGAGCTGATTTTGACAGATGTGCCAAAAGAGGCGCATTTTAGCATTAAATCATCGAGGAAAGAAAATTAGGGGGAATACTTTAATGTGGAAGGGCAGCTTTATGGTTTTGAGATAGCACATTAATTGTAAAATTATTTAAACAGTCGAATTTTTGTGTCTAAAAAATCAAATCTTCAAACGCATTTTTCAAGAAGTACGATATTTCAAAACGGCACGCAGTATAACTCCAACAATTTTCACTATTTTCATTTGAAATTTTATCCACATATTTAAAATATTTTGCAGTGGAGATTTTTGGTAAGTTCATTCAAACATTTTTTATAAATAGATAGAACCCTTTTTTTGGTTGAAAATTAAAGATTTTACTTTACAAATACCTATATTCTACAATAACACAAAAATCAATATTTCTAAAATTTTGTACGTGTTTCACTAGCTATAACCATGTAGGTTAAGAGGATATTTTTTATTTTGTTCTAGTTTTAAATTTGCACCAGCTACACTGCGGGTCGTGTAGCTGGTACATATTAGTAGCAAACGGACTGTGCCTTCATTCTGAAAAGACAGTCTGTAGATATAATATGCTTATATGTTTCCTACCCTAATTTACCATTAACTAATTTTTTATAAACATTTTTATATGTTTTATAAACATTTTTATGCAAAAAAAAAATCATTTTTGTAGTTTTTTTTTTGCTTATAAAACGTAAACTAATGAAGCAATCTGATTGCTATACCGAGACAATTTGTAGAGAATCAAAATACGAACAAAACGAGAGGTCGATCAATCTGATTGCATTTCCACGTTTCAGGGCTCAAAACATTTTTTAGTATCGCTACGCCATCTACAGGGTGTTCTAGATAGACCTTCAATTAGAAGTTTCTGGAAAACTACGCATACTGGAATTCTGAAAATTTATGTACGGGGGTTTCTCCTAATGTTCTATCAATTGAAAATATTGGCGTCGCCGTGGAACTTCCGGTTCTACCGGAAGTAGACGTCAACTTGCTTATTTCAAGTAGAATATACTATTTTTTATTTAATTTTTGGATTCTACATCGTATTTTAAGGTAAGTTTCATAACCTTACTTTATCCTTAAACTCAATTCTGTACCTCAGAGCTAAACTGTATTAACTCCATTTTTTACAAAAATGGGATTATTTGACAGCCCAACGCAGTTTCTTATGCTCTTTCATGTGCTAAACAGTAATAACTCCCATTCATGATACTTTCGAAGATAGACAGTGCTAAATAATAATAAGTCCCAACATGTCTCCAAGCTAAAGAATCGTATGTGTATTTAATATTAACCGTGTTTCATTTCCACAGTATTAAGTTCCTTGTTACATCAATTTAGTCCGAGCCAAACAGAGGTGTATGTGGAGTTAATATTCTATTAGTTTCACTTCGGAGTATTAACTCCACACATATCAAAATCATGTTGGTTTACTTTAGTATTATATCCACATTAATCGTGTAATCATGTTCGTGCCAAATAGTGTTAACACCATTTTTTCGAAAAAAAAAATACGAATAGAAAATTATTCTTTAAATTACAATAAATAATATTCAAATAGACGTATAACTTCACATCATACTAATTTTTTTTATTAAGGAGAAGTAAGAGTTCGAAGTTATGGAATGATAAGCAAAATTTAAATCTTTAAATCTCTCATACCTACACTTAATCGGTTCTATCTCCTCCAATTTTTAAGATAAGAAGTTGAAATTTTAGATGGTCAATACCAAAACGTGTCCACTGGAGGGCCTTAATCGAAAGGGATTTTATACACAAGGCTATGCGGACGACTTGGTCGTTCTCATAGTCGGGAAACATAATATTATCGTTTCAGAACTCATGAAAGAGGCTTTGAAATGGATAGATGACTGGTGTAAGGGGCAGACACTGTCAGTAAACCCTGACAAAACGGTCGTAGTACCCTTCACCAGGAGAAGAAATTTAACTGGACTCTCTGAACCTATAATAGGGGAGAGGGGCATTACATTTTCCAGGGAAGTAAAATATCTAGGAGTGATACTGGATAATAAGCTTACCTGGAATACGCACTTGGAAAAAGTGGTGAGTAAGGCGAAGCAGACATTGTGTGTATGCCGCCGCCTTATTGGGAAAACCTGGGGACTGAAACCAAAGATGTCACACTGGTTGTATAAGTCTATAGTAAGACCCAGGATTCTTTACGGCGCTGTGGTATGGTGGCAGAAAACACAACAGACCACAGCGAAGGAAAAACTGAATAGAATTCAGAGATTGGCCTGTTTAGGTATAACGGGGGCGATGGCATCGACCCCGACAGCTGCACTAGAAGTCATGCTAAATCTGCCACCGCTGCATATAGTGGTGGAGAGAGAAGCGCGGCTAGCAGCATATCGACTCAGGAATAATAATGATTGGAGGGGTGGTTCCCACTCCAGGATCAAAGATACATCTATGTCGGAACCAATTCTTGGGATGGTATCCGACAAGATGGTTCCAAAGTTTCACTTCCACAAGCCATTTGAAACTCGAATAGAGGATCAAAGCGAGTGGGAGGAAAGGTTTAATACCCTGGAAAGGTGGAGCCTAGTATGGTTTACAGATGGCTCCAAAATGACCAGAGGGACGGGTGCAGGAATATATGGACTCCGACCCAGATGGAGTGCAAGCTACAGTCTGGGGGAGTTCCCTACTGTATTCCAAGCAGAAATCTTCGCGATAATGGCGTGTCTGGCAGAGAATGTACGTAGAGGTTATAGACGTAAACTCATATATATATTCTCTGATAGTCAAGCTGCAATTAAAGCTTTAGCCGCACACAAGTTAAGTTCAAAACTGGTGTGGGATTGTTTACAGATGCTGACTGAACTGGCCACCAACAATACAGTCAGACTGTGTTGGGTGCCAGGGCACAAAGGCATTTGTGGAAATGAGAAAGCGGATGAACTTGCGAGGAAGGGATCCGGGACAGTGTTCATTGGCCCGGAGCCCTTCTGTGGCACATCTCCCAGTGTGGTCAGGCGGGCTCTGGGCAAATGGACAGAGACAGAACATAGGAAATACTGGACTTCAAGGCCAGGACATAGCCATTCCAAGGAGCTTATGGAGTATCCTTCGAATGGAAGAGCGAATGAGTTATTGAGCTTGAATAGAATCCGGCTCAGGAGAGTGACAGGACTCATAACGGGACACTGTCACTTTAGGAAACATCTACATAGACTAAAGCTTGTAGACAGTCCGGTATGCCGAGGATGTGAATCGGCGGATGAAACTTCTCTGCATATCCTGGGCGAGTGCCCGGGATTTGCACGTAGCAGAATGGCGCTCCTTGGGATACCCTATTTGGAAGCCAAGGAGCTGAGAGAAGTGTCAGCAAGGAAGCTTTTGGACTTTGTAAACAAATCTACTTGCTGAATAGGACTAGTAGTGGGACGCATAATAGGCCTAATTAGGCCGCAGTGCTATGGGACTTTTAAAGGACCAACAGAAGAAGAAGAAGAAAACGTGTCCAAAAATCTGGAATATTCGAAATTTGGTGCATGTTACACAGGGCGTCTAAAAAACACGGACCAATTGTGTCAAATTGAAAGTTAAATAACTCGCTAATTTTAAACACCCTGTGTTTTATAATGCCAGTAGATGCACCTATTAATTGTCTTTCCATGGTATAAGCATTCCCTATACCTAAATCCCACCGATTTTGAGATATTTGAACATAAATACAGAGACGAATATAATCCGACAGTTTGTTGTAAGTTGGTTTGGTCATCCCATTTTTTAGTTATTAATGAAAATATTGAAAAAATCACGATTTTCTGTCTACAAAATTGATATCTTAAAAACAGTATCGGATTGGTCAATTACGTTCACGGTCAGGATATACAGTATAACTGTATTATTTTAATAAATTTTTTCAGATTGTTGTTTACAATTATTTACAACTTGAGTCAGTTTTTTCTTTTTTTAAGGAATGCAATATTTACGGATAGCATTTCCTTCTATTTTGCTTAAAAATAAAAAAAAGAAGAGCTTTTGAGACAAAAATGACCTTCACCCCTAAAACTCTGATTTGTTCTACACGACCACTGAACATGTCGATTTGAATTTATGTATTGAAAAATTTGTTTGTAGAATGTTTTTTTGGCAAAGAATAAGAATTTGCACTCTTTGGTTAAATTTCGAGATTAGAAGCTAATCCGGGGATCATAATTTTTTATTAAAAAATCCGGGATTATAGAACATAATCCTGTACATAAATAAATAAATAAATAAATAAATAAATAAACAATTAATAATAATAATTACCTTAATATGCAAAAATTTGTCCTGCTCCTGCTGTTGCACCAAAAGTTCCTTGCTGAGATGCAACAAGGCGTTAGCGGGAGCATCCCCCTTCAGTTGTAAAGGCACCGCCGCAGACTTATTTATATCTTCCAAAGATCCACCCTCTGCGATTTTAAAGGAGCTCTCCTCCATCAATATGGTCACATCTTCTCCAAGCTCGTTCAGCACCTGGTAAGGGGCGCTCGTCTCGCGAATATGCTTTACACTTGTGGTTCCGATAGCGGTCGCGAAGGCTTTGCTCAGGTTTTGAAGCACCTCCAGACAGGTTTTCGTGACGGTCATTTCAAGGACGTGTTCGGAAACCACGTCGATACTCATCACCGGCGAGGGCAGAGAATCACCGTCTGATTCCGACGTCGTAGGGCTGGTGGCGTTGAGAGTGTCGTCCTGTTCGCCCATAGACAACTAAAAAATTAAGAATATATAGACATAAGCCCTATAAATCTTGTGTAGTGGAAGGGTGTTTATTATTAATTTTTTTTTTGTCATCAAATATTGAGAAGGTTAAATATTTTAGTTGTTGATTATTTTGAGAAAACCAAATTTTTTAATTTTTTTTTCTATTTTTTCTGTTATCACAACTACAGCAAAATGAAGAACTCTTCGCCAAAGAAACTTTTTATATACTTTCTCACACAAATGTCTTTTATATGAAACATTTTATTGTTATTTAAATTACCATGTCTTTTAATATAATGAATTGCGATTGCCAGAATTTCAATTTGGCAATTTTTTTTTCGAAATGTTCTTAATAGTCTGATTAAGGTTTTTAGGGAAAGAAAAATTGAAAAAGTTGCCCGGAAAATTGGAAAATTCAGGAAAAATTGAAAGTGCTTTTTATTGTATGGGATTTTTGTATGAACTCAAAACCATAACTCACGATTTGCATGATGGATATGCGTAATTCTTTTTTTGTTTTGTTCGTTATGGTCCTGAAAAAGTTTTTAGAAAACAGAATTTGAGACACTTACAAAGAAAAGCCGGAAAATTTGAAAATCATAATTTCCATACTCTCAATCATAACTGATGATAGGAATGACATGGATGATATTTTTTTGTTTTGTTCGTTATTCTCTTGGGATGGAAATAATTCAATTGAATGTATATAGAACACCTTGAGATTCATTGTGATTTCAAATTTAATGGAAGAAAATAAAACGTTTGCTTGACATGCATTCTGACTTAATTTAATTGTGACTTAAATTTTGGAACAAAACCGCATGGTTTTAAGTCCATGACATTCCAGGCACATGACACATTTCCAGCAGTTCAGCGATGTAGTATCGATAGAATTCATTTTGAATGTATTTCCCATTGGCATACTTATGAATGTACTCCTCCTCAAATTGAATACCCATGGCCACAATCGTTAAGGGGACATCCATCTTGATGGGTCAAAAAAATTTTTTTTGCTTTAGTTTAAAGTTTATGTTAATACCTTCGAAAATGTGTATAAAATTTTATGTCAAAATTCCGAAAATTGACTGAGTTACAGTAATTTTAGTGAGGCAGGTGTACATGCCTAAATCATCGGTGCGCTAGGGACAGACGAAGAATCGTGCGCAAAAGGGCAATAAAATAAAAAACCAACCAACCAACCAAGAAGACTACTGGCGATGTTGAGGAAGAATCATCGTATTGCCCAGGACTTGATAGTTTGATGTACGTATAAATAGTAAGAAAAATGGTCTGAAAACTTTAAACGCGTTTTTCTCAAAACGACTTTTTTCAAACTGGTTGCATTCGATTAATTATCAACTGATTTTCAATTTTTTTTTGTTTTATTCGTCTGCGATGGCTAAGGTTAATTCTGAAAATTTTGATTATTACTATTTTTTAACAGTGCTTTAATGCAAGAGGCAAAAACGTGAACAAATTTTTAATCGGACGCCATTTTGTAAAGTCAAAATAAAAAAAAATGGTTATGTACAACGATAACTACATTCATATAGATTCTAATGCAATTTGATTTCTTTTTTTCAGATAACCCATTTTTGGAAAATCGATGCGACCTTGGAGGGAGATTTTTTTTAAGGCTTTACGGCAAGGGCAAGGCTCATAACTTTGTAACAACTTAATATTTTTTAATAAACATGAACCAAGTTGAATATACACTTAATAAAAAAAAACCCGATCCCCATATTCCTTATTTTCCCGGTCAAAAAAATTCACGAAAATCGTTCACTTTTTCAGCCTTCACAGTGATTATCCCCCTTAATAGACACAATGATCACACAGAAATACGTTTTTTTCTCATTTTTACTTTGTTTACACATTTCCAACAGTTTTTCACAAAACAATTACAAACAAATTTATTGAAATTTGGACAGGGTAGCGTCTGTCGGGTCAGTTAGTTCATTATGAAAATGACTTTAATTCTATTATTTTTTTTAAATAAAGAAATACTTAAAAATGATTCTAAACAATGATGGTAGGAATGTATAAAATAAAAATTCTTAAAAAATATGTATTTTAAAAGACAGTGCTATGATTAAAAAATTTAAATTGATGGTAAATTGAAAATGAGATATAGAATTTCAAAACACATTTCCACGAGATGGTACAGGAAAATTTGAAACAAGATTCTCTTGCTTTACTCTGAAAAAACAATAAAATTGGTCCTTTTAGTAGACCTCTAGTACCGCAACCTTTTTCCAATTTGATCTGGCTTGTATTTTTTGCCGTTTTAATCTTCGGGTCAATCTGACATAGAAATTTTTTGATCGTGCAATTCGCAGAGAAATTTGAAAAGTGGGCAGTCCTTTACACTCTGGTAATATAGTTCGAGTTCCCAACTATATTTTTAAATGCTTGCCATAGTGTGCAGAGGGCTCAGTCGTTGTTGAGAAGCACTCGAAACCAGTGTTGGGTAGCGTGACCCAGGTGTATACTTACCATAAATTTTTATAACATTCAGTTACTTGTAACGGATAAAAACCAAAAATGATGTGTCCATCTTGTTTGAGGCCAATGTACACTGACCATCGTGCATACCTTTATAATGATTGTACCGGTGAAGAATAATACTTGTAAAATACTTTTATAATTTGTAGATTTTTTAAGTAAATCACCATGGCAGCTTAGTCACACAGCCTTTGGCTTTGGATTTGGGGGTTGTCTCATTTCTGTGGTGTGTTTTATATATTTTTTTTGTTTTTTAAATAAAAATAGTTTTTTAAATTAAATATTTAAATATTTTCTTCATTTACATGATAAATAACTTTTCCGTTTTATTTGAAAAAATGCATGTATTTTTGCACCCAAAAAATGCACCAAGTTCAAATTTCCAAAAAATTATCTTTTTTTAAAGGTACAGTATAGGACTATTTTTTGTTATTATTATACAGAGTTTGTATAAAAAGTATCGAGAATAATTTTTTCCTGACATGACTGTACATCACACCACGCTAACTCCGAGCGAGCTTGGTGGTGGGGGGTCTGACATTCAAAACGCGCCAAGGGTCAGTCACTTGCAAGCATATGTTCAGGCTAGATCGAGTTTTTAGTGGACCCTGTAGAGTGACTTGGTGCAATCTCAAAATGCAGCGAACAATTAAAGAACGGTGCGCTATCAAATTTTCTGTTGGAAATTGCATCACAACAATGAACCCAGACACACCTTCTCCAATGTGACCGACTACCTGACGCAAAACAGCGTCGCAACGATTCCCCAATCCCTCCTACAGAACCGATTTGGCCCCAGCAGACTTTTTTCTGTTCCCAAAAGTGAAATCCTCCCTTAAACGACACCACTATGGGACCCTAAGAGCCCTTAAAGAAGCTTGCATGCGTACCTTTAAGCACTTTCCAGAATCCACCTACCAGGGAGCCTTCGACTTGTGGAAAAGCTGCTGGCAAAACTGTGTCGACACTCAAGGAATGTACTTTTAAGAATTTTAAGGTTTTGTAGCAATATCTGAAATAAATCTATTTTTCCAAAAGTTTTCCCGATACTATTTATACAAACCCTGTACTTCCAGAGTTTCCACATAAATTTTTAGCTTAATACATATATTAAAAATTTAGTTTTTTTCGTAAAATTCAATTAAAAAAAAAATGGGATTTTTTTTATTTCTATGAGGTTTTAAGTATACCTCAGAATTTTTTCAAGGCAATCGGTCGAGCCATTGCGGAATGGTACACAACCAACAAAAAATTGGGTCAAATTGACCCAGAGTGTTCTCCGTAATCAGTGTGTTCTCGAAGGGTTAAAATAAAAAAATTTACATTACCTCCACTTTCAGTTCCCAAGGCACAAAATGCATTTTACCATCTTCTTCTACTTCTACAGGTTCGATGAGTGGTTCCCACAAAGCCAAACTGCTGTTGTAGTACCCCATTTGCATGGTTAAGCTCGCTTCAAGGCTTAACTGAAACATTTAAATATTAAAAACAAATACTAAACCCCCGAAGAAACGTCTTACTTGCGAACTCCAGTTTCGAGCGGCTCCCTGAAAACCAGTCTCAAGTATCAACATCGGAAGGGTCTTGTTTCCCACACCCGCCTCGATAGTAAAAACAATGGAGGGTACAGTGATAATACACAGTTCTTGCAAAGCATTCTTCTTTTTAATCCTCCCGCCTTCCGCGGATGGATATTCTAAAGCCTCCAAGGCATTTTCTATAAAAACATAACTTAATGCTTATTGAAATGGAAGCAACATTTTAGTTACCTGTTTTCAAGAACCAATAGTCAGAATCTGCAAATTCTTTTTGTTCCCAGAGGTTGGGGTGATTGACCTGTTCTTTGGCGTTTTCGTCCATAGAGGTTCCCGAGCTAGTCATGGTCACCATAACCCTGTTTAAAAGTTCGATCGTGGCAGGCGAAACACTCAATCGGATGGCGGTGATTAGAAGCTATTTTAAAAAGCGTTTCAGTTCATTCATTAAAACCTTTAGAAAACAAGAATTTATTGTTTTAAACAATGAGCATATCCCACACATTTTTTTGTTTGCTTATTTGACAATATTTGTAGAACTAAACCTACAGATTTCTTCCATTTATAAAAATAAAATGTTTTCTAGCAGTGTTGTGTATTTTGTAATAAATTTTAAGACTAGTATGCTAGTTTTGTTATAGAAACAGTGGAACTTGGTGGACATTGAAAATCCTCCACAAATTAAGAAATTCGCCGAATAATGATTAAGACATTCAAAATTTTGAGATTTTACAGTTCAATTAAGTGGCAACAATTCTGAACGACCCTAAAAGATATCACTATTTTACAAAAAAGATAAACAGTTAAAATTTTGATTTCTTAGACAGGGTGTTCGTATTAGAAGTATACAGAGTGTAAGTTTAAGTAGGGATCAGGTTTTTGGGGGTAACAGTATGTTTTCCCCTGAATACGAATCTGAAATTCTTTTTTTTTTAAATCAAATGAATAGTTGAGTAATAATTAGTTTTTTAAAATGCACTTTAATACTTGTGAATGCCATCACTGTAATCATGTATTACAAATACATTGTAGGCAATTTATAGTACATGTGAAGGGAGATAGTGCGGGTCAACAGTAACGAAACGAAGGGGGTCAGTTGTTCCACATTTGGAGACAATGTTTTTCATCGCTGGAAGCCATCAATATTTATTTTTGTGTATTTCATTTATCATTATCAATTACTGCTTGAGTTTTTTTGCTAGATTACTTGTTAATTTGTGTGGCGATCATCCACTCAACAAAAGTATCTCGCGGCGAATGGCGTGGAATTATGCATATGCTGAGACTTAGGCGCGTCGTTTTTTGAGTTTGCATTAGCTTGTCCAGTGGCGGGGTACAAAAATTACTAAAAAAAAAATTACTTTTACGATAGAATTTGAAAAAATAAATTATTGATACGTGTTTCTAAAGGTAGTTACACTCTGTATGCAAGATTAACTTTAAGTGGGGGTCAGTTTTTTAGAGGTAATAGTATGTGTTCCCCTGATAACAAATCTGAAATTCTATTTTTTTAAATCAAGTAGTTGAGTTATAATTAGTTTTAACTGCACTTTAAATCTCATGTAGGTACGCATATTAAATTGTATTTCTGCATTATTAGCGTTGCCAGTTGTTTTTCTTACCTTACCTGTCGCATTAAATATATAAAATTAATTTGGTTTTAAAATAATAATTTTGGTTGTTTTAAAAAACAAACATAATAAAAATATATAAAATTAGTAACATTTTTTTAATGAGGTATATCGGGGTTCGAGGGAAGTGAGGAGCGCAGGGGGGGGGGGGTCCATGCTTTTCTTATGGGACTAAAACCCGCTGCCAATTTGAATTGAGATTATTTGCGATAAACATTTATATATCAAAGAAATCTACTTACATATATGCACATAGCATACATATTGACTAATTAACAACATAAAATATCATATTTAAGCAGTTTTAAATTATATTTAATGAACGCATAAAGACTATGTAGATGTGGCAACAGCGCTAATAATTGACTAGCAGTTGTACACACTGCGAACCTACAGACCTCGGACATCGGAGATATTGCGCGTCAAATTCGGGTAAAGATGCGTACGCGTTCAAAAATGTATTGTGTGTAAACTATGTACAATATAATTATTATATATAGCAAATATATCGTATTTTCCTCGCAAAAAGATTTGTATCCTTTATTTAAAATCCGTAAATCATGAGAACTGGTAAAACAACGAGAAAATAATTATGTTAATTTAGTGCTAAAGAAATGAAATGACACTCGTCCAAGTCAAAAAAAATGCTGGATGCAATTTTGAAGGTTCTGTGATAGAAATTACATTATTACTCACTGTTCGTCTTTTTCATCTCTATTTTAGTAATATTACAAAAGTTTTGCAACCATAACTAATTTTTTAGATATAAAGTTTGCTGAGAATTATTTATGTTCCTTTGTTATTGCTTTTATCCCAAGTATTACTAATTATATTAATCAAGTAAAGAAAACTTTATGTAACCCTAAATATTGCTGGGTAATGATTACGATGTTTTTATAAACCATTAAATATATTAAAAGGATTTATCAACTGTATTTTTTATTCCAATAAATATATCACAGCTTC